GAGTCAACAGAGAGAGCAGAAGCCTTAGCTACAGATGTATGTGGCAACCTGTGGCCATAAATATTCATCACCTATCCCCTAAGCAGGATGGGCAAACAAGGACACTGTGATGGAGAAAGAGGAGGATCTGATTCAGTGTGAAAACCCCAAATTTCTTTCATTTTCCTAGGAACTACCTGCCAAGTGGGGCAGTGACAGGGGCTAGAGAAACACAAAGAGGCAATTTTGAATGCAGACTGTGAACAGTAGGGATATGGAGGAGGTTGACATCCACCCCCAAAGGTCTGTAGGGGAGGGATCAGTTTAAGTATAGTTCAATGGGGTATATATTAAGCAACCACAGTACTGCTTGTTGCAGTGTTGTTGAGTGCTGGACTGGGCTGTACCCTGGAATTATGAGGAGGTTGCAGTCCCATGGGAGAGGCAGGCCTGTGGGCCATAATTGTGAAGTGTTTTTCTATGTGTATTTATTGTTGTTGTTCATACAGAATATGATGGTAATTTCATACCCATGTGGTCTTATACTTTTTTCTAATTAGTAATTGTTGTTTTAAGGGTATCAGTGGATTGGGTGTGGTAGTACATGGCTGTAATCCTAAGGTTTGGGAGATGGGGCAGAAAGATCCAAAACGCAAGGACAGCCTTGGCTATATCTTGAGTTTGAGGCCAGACTGGCAGCATGAGACTCAACATTGTCTCAAAAACAACAACAAAACCCACCAAGTCATAGAAAGGCAAGAGCCACCTTACCTTAGATAGGCTATTAAAAGATTGGCAATGAGTTAAGTGTAGCTAAAAGTGTGACCAGGAAGCAGTCTGGGGAGTGAGAACCTGGAGGAGAATGGCATAGACAGCTCAAGTGAAGGAAAACACTAGAAACAAAACTCCAGAGAGCAGGGTGTGAAGAGGTGAGGCAGAATTTCACTAGCCAGTAGAGAGTAAGCAGGGCCTTCACAGATGTGTGGACTTTGTGTACCAGTTTAACAAGCCTCTCAGAACTACACCACAGTGAAGAACCCTGTCATCATAGGCATCAGTGTCATTTAAGTCTTAGGTTGTATTTTTAAAATGGATTTAGTGATCCCTGTTTTTTTAATGGCACCCCATACATTAATGATGTAATCATTTATTTATTTTTAATCCTTACTATATAAATTACATCTTAGAAACACAGGCACAGCTTGCCTTAGAGGCACAGATTGCCACATCAGATTGACAGTTGTCATTAGAGGATATTGCCCATTTGAGTTTAGGTTCACAAAGGTCATTTATGAACATACCAGATCCTGCACTCAGAGAGAGTTCCTAAGAAGTCTGTGTCTCTGAGCTAGCCTGCCTTGTTCCTTTGACTGTGTCTGGTGACTACCTCTCCATTCTGTTCCTGGCAGGCTATGCCCCTGGTGGTTGATCTTACTGCTTTCTTCTCTGTCACCACCAACCACGTTCAGCCACCAAATCCTAGCAGTAGTATTTCCAAATCTAAGCCCCCATCAGTCTCGTCAGAATTTCTACTTTTGTCTCATTTTCTCACCTCTTCTCAAGCTTCCCTATAGTTGATTTTCTATAATCGAAGCAGTAGCTTTTCCATGGGGATATGATGGTATCTCTCTCCTTTGCAGCCTTTTGGTGGATGGTTATTGAAATAGTTACTAGAACCTTCCATTCAGCACACCATAACTCACTGTAGTTTTGTTCAGAGTTCTCTGGACCTATTTCCTATTTCCTTACTACTTGAGCTAAGTGTGTGTGTTTGTATTTTCCATTTCTAACTCAGTTAGCTAATATCGTCTCTTGAACCATAATAAAATCTCATTTCTGCAGAGACCTTCCCCAACTCCATCTAGAAAGCACCTGGCTTTTTGTTGATTTTCATCTCAACAATTAATGAAGAGTTGTGTGACTTAGTGACTAGTGTTTGTTAGCCCATAGACCCAGTTCCCAGAGTTGAGACCACTCATGGCTATCTATAGCCTCATATCCATGGGGTAGCTCTAGCACCTGTTTCAAGGGCACAGTAAGACTAATAAGCAAACAGGAATATGTGAATATTCATGTTCCATTCTTCTCTGCTATTCAAGAACTCTTAAGATAAAAACAAAAAGACAACATTGATGGTGCCAGAAATGCTTAAATACCAACTCAAAAGCCACCAACAGATCTGCATGGCCCTCATCTTATACCACCTTGACTACAGTTCATCATGGAGTAATATATATATGATGCTTTGATGCCTATTTATGCTCATGGGATCCAGGGCTTTTTATCTAGAGAGCCAATTCCTCTTCATTCATTGATATTAAGATTCTGGGTCTGGCTCACCAAAATCTCAAGGGTGTCCAAAATTCCAGAGCTGCATGTGAAATTTCAGTGTATGATGTAACTGTCAACATGACCAGTGTCTACTGAGAAGCACACTGCCCGGCTGTGCAGGTCTGCCTGAGAAGCCATGTTACACTGAAGGTCATGGGTCAGGATCAAGAGAGTTTGTGTTATGCACGTGTGTACCGGGGGTAAGGGCTCCGGCTGCACCATCTGTCGGAAACAAAACGAGCAGAAATCATCGCACTAAGCAGCACTGTATCTATTGGCTGTATGCATGTCACCTTAAGTACTTTTTCTGTAAGTATATATAAAGTAATTTTAATCATTTGCTTTTTTATTTGCTCAGCCGATTTCCACGAAGTCCTTGAATGCTTATCCAGGTCACATGGGTTTCTCCACAGCTTCAGATCTCGGGCAGAAACTGTATTGAGTGTTCTCAGTATAACACCACATAATAAATGAAGCTGTGTTAAAATGAATAAAAGTCTCTCAAATATGAAATAACTAGATTTTTGAGTAATAAAGGCAGAGCTAATTTAGTAAACTAAGTGGCCCTGACTGAAAATGAATTGCTGTTTTAAGAAAAGCAGAATTACTTGAAAAGGAAATAAATTGCTCTTTTCAAAAGGCTTAAAAATGGTAGAATCCCCCCACAATGTAATGAAAAGAGAAAACTGTGTGTGAACTAGTAGGTAAAAGCATTGCTTTTTGGTAAAAGTTATGAGGGACTGTGAAGACAGTCCGGCTAGCAAAGTGCTCGCCTTGGCCTGAAGAAAGAGCCTTAGAGTTCTATTTCTTGCTGTCTGTTCAGGGTTTGAAAAGCTGGAATGCAGCACTACCACAGTTTTCTTCCCACAAATGTACCTCTAGGATCTCTCTAAATATCTGTGTGTATAGAGCCAGGGTGTGTCACTTGAAGACTTGAAGTGTTTTAAATCTCCATTCCTGGGGCTGGAGAGATGGCTCGTCTTTAAGAGCATCTGGTGCTCTTGCAGAGGACCCACCAAGTTCTGTTCCCAGCACCCACACCTGGCAGCTTACAACCGCCTGTAACTCCGGCTTCAGAGGATCTGATGCCCTTCTTCTGGCCTCTGTGGGCACCCACACACTTGTGGCATGTATACACAAAGACAGACAACACATAAAATGAAAGTCTATGTGCCTAATGCAAACAGTCATAAGCAGAGGCTTTCTTTTCTGAATTATAAGGGATAATTAATTACCCGACTCTTCATGCTTGTACTTGGACGTTTGTTCATCTCATTTCTGCATTCCCATACAGCTTTCTCACTAGTGCCACCCTGAAATAGGCTTTTTGACAGTGATAGGGAAGACTTTGAAGATTCATACTGTGCACATTGCAGGCATTAAGTGATCTCAGTGTCCAAAGAAGTGATCCCAGGGGCTGAATTCTATATAAGAAGAGTTCACATGTCTGCGTCCTGTGAAATGATTGAGTCTGCTTCTGTTTGCCTCAGGGAAGTCCATATGTGTGTGTATATATATATGTATGTATGCATGTGTATATATGTATCTTTAAACAAACCTGATTTCAGTGATTTCATCTGAATCACTCTCCAGAAGCTGTCTCTTAGCATCTGAAAAGGCTGTTACATCATTAACCAGGTATTTGGTTAGAAACCTGTACCATGGGAGCAGGATGGGTCCAGTGGCATAGTGTCAGGAGTATCACAGGCTTAACTATAGCTCTGACTTAACTGTAACCAGTATCAACTCCTCAGAGACAAGACAATAAGCTGCCTCCCTTTTCCCTGGTATACATTCATATTTGTCAGATGTAATTTTTTATAAAGCTTTTGTTCCTTCTACATCTCAAGGTCTCCATGCACTTTCCCAAGTATCCCTTAGGAAAACATTTCTCACTTTAACATCTCCTCTCCTCCCTCTCCTGCCATAGCCACTACTGCTCCAAGCTTAAATGTTGAGGAAAATGTCTTCAGGTGAAATTGCTAAGCCTGTGACAACATGGAATCTCTATTGCATCCTAGCAAGATAAATACTCTAGGCATCGGGGTGCAGAGGCCTTAACGGATTGCTTTGTACGGTTGGTTGGAGAGAGGTGGTAAGAAGGCAAAGGAGGTTATTATCCTTGTGATCACCTATGTTGAGCATCTGGCTGGGGGTGGAAGACTGAGCCTCCAGAGCACAATAGGTCAGGGTCCTGTGACAGGTGCTACTTCTGTGACACTTTATGGTGGAGTGAGGGAGTGATGGAGTGAGTAACCTTGTCCTATTCCTGTTACCTCATTTACAGTCAATATGAAGAGGTTCACCTGTGCCTGGTAGCCTGTGTTGCTCATTTAAAACAATGCACAGACATGTGGAAAACCCTGAATTCAATCCTCAGCACCAACTAATAAAAATAAAAACAACAAACAGTAATAAATAAAATAATGGAGTGAATGACCAGGGCTTTTAAAACTAAAAACGTGATGGAAAGCTGTTCTAGAGATCAAAATGGCTGCATTAAATTTAGTTACGGGTGGGACTATTCCATTGCCAATGATTTGTGTTCACAATGGATTGGGTGTTTCTGTCTGGACTACTGCTCTCACAGGCATGGGGTGGGGTGTGTAGGATTCAAGCAGTTGTACATGGTGCCACATGTCTTTCCTTCTTCTGAGAAATCATTGTTTCTGTCTTCCTTCTCTGGCCAGGTACTGGACTGGATTGAAAACCATGGTGAGGCCTTTCTCAGCAAACACACTGGGGTTGGGAAGTCCTTGCATCGAGCACGGGCACTACAGAAGAGGCATGATGACTTTGAAGAAGTGGCTCAGGTGAGATGCTCTGTGTGTGTGTGTGTGTGTGTGTGTGTGTGTGTGTTGTGTGTGTGCGTGCACACGTGTGCATGTACACATGTTGGGTTGATAGTCTGTCCTGCTGTTCTGGCTTCCTGCTTAATATGAAAAGGTCTTTGTCTTCTCTTGGAGGCTGCTAAGTGAGTAGCCAGTAGACCTCCACACTCAGGGTCTTAGAAAATCTTCCTACCACTATGATCTAAAAAAAAAAGTCTTATCCACCAGGTGGTGCTGGCAGGAGGTTAATGTTATTAGACCCATCATCAGCCCAGGGTTCCTGCTTTTAACTGTCACTCCAGATAAATGCTTGCAAAGTTGTGCACCATCCAAGACCTGAAGGGAAAGACAGCACCTGATTGTCAGCCATGTGCCTAGAGGACAGATATGCCCAGAGAGTGTAACTAGGATCACTTTCACCTTTAGATTAAAATGTACTCAATATTCAGTCTTTTAGCTGAAGACACATGTTCAAAGAACACTGTTTTCTAACTTTGGGAAGGATATGATTTGAATGGCTGGTTATTTGTCTACCCCTAAAACTTAGCCTGATTCTGTTATATTTGTCTATTGGGATATTTACCAGATAGGTCCTGAAAACCCTCATCTTCAAATGAAGTGTTGGTGCACAGCTGGTTTTTTTTAAGGTTGCAGTAGAAAATAAAACTGTTAAAAATAGGATTGTGCAGGGTGTCCAAATGGGACGTAGGGGTCAGTGCACTGAAGCAGTGAGGATAACACAGCTTTGTCTTGTCACATCACAGCTTTAGCCAGAGCTGGCTGTGATCCCACATGCAGGCAGCCTTCAATGCAGGCACCCTCATCTTGGAAGGCAACCAGATCCCTGTAGGTTCAAAATAAAGAGAGAACCCACCAAGAACCAAATGAGGACAGAAGAGCTATGGAGCATTACTGTGTCTCCGGGAGACCTTTAAGAACATGAGAAAGAAAAAGACAGAAGAAAATGGTCATGCGAGAGATAGATGGCCCTGTTCAAAATTATCTGAACTCAGGAAGTGTGGGTGGTGGGAAAAGCCACATGTGAAAACCTTGGCATGATGATGGTTATATAAAATGATGTGCCTGTGTAGAAAAATATCTAGAGTCCTCAAAAATTTTAAAGTAGAATTACAGCAAGATCCAGCCATTCTGTTTGGTATATGCCTAAGTGGAGTAAAATAAGGGCATTTGTACCCCCATATTTCCAGAACTATTATTCCAAGTGGCACAACGGTGGGAGCAGCACATATATCACATTAATCAGAGGATGAACAAATGTGATACATACATACAATAGTTATCATTCAACTTTAAAAGGGGAGGAAGTGCCAGCAGGTGACAGCATGTGGATGAACCTTGAAGTCTTTTACTAAGGGAAGCTGATCAGTCACAATATGTCTGATTTCACTCTTCCCTAGAGAGCCTGCTGTAGCCAGTTCATAGAGATAGAGGAGAACAGTGGTTATCAGGAAGGAGGAAAATGGGGATGTTACTATGTTGCAAAGCTTTGGTTCTGCAAGATGACTTCCTAAGATAACTGGTTGTGATGGTTGCACAGAAATTAAAATTGTAAAAATGTTTTCATATTGTGTATATTTTAGTATAATTTTAAAATATAATGTTTTGATTTTTTGAGAATTTTATACATACAGTGTATTTTGGTCATATTCATACCCACACACTCCTCCCAGACCCACTCTCTACTCCTCCACTGAATCCCAACTTCTGTTCTTTCATAAAGATAAAAACTCATTGAGTCCGGTTTGTGCTGCCCATATACTCGTGGGTATGGGAACATCCACTGGAACATGGCCTATCTATCAGGCCACACCTTTAAAGAAAACTTGGCACTCTTCCCCAGAAACTGTCAACTGTCAGTAGCTCCTCAGCTAGAGACAAGGGCTCATGAACCACTCCCCCCATGTTTAGCATAAGTTTTTAACCTTCATAGTCATGTGAAGACACTCTGCATGGCAAGCTGTGCTTGATCAATGTTATATGGACATTGGGTGCTGTATTTATGGACTCTGAGGAACAGGATACAGCCCGGATCCAGATGCTGTGGGTATCTCTCTAGTCTGTTAGGACACAAGGGATGGAAGAGCCCATGTGCATCCCTCTACAGAGAGTGGAGCTGTTGTGCCTGGGTGTTCTCTCATAGTAGAGCCATCCCATAGTTTTATTGCTTCTCTTCTCTGAGCTGTCCTGTAGTCCAGACCCTCCTTTTCTCTGGAAAGATGTCACAAAAGATACCTTCAGCCCTGACCTAGCTCTGCTTTCCTCGGAGTCTTCTAGTTGTCTGTAATGGGTTGTGACCTCTTGGTTTGTAGGCCTCAAGAGGCCTATTGGCTTTTGTGTGTTGTTACATTCAAATAGGTCTGTGTCCACCATGACCCCATTTCTTCCCACTCCTCCACCAATGCCTGATAGCCCTTACATGCGGAACAATGCTTTTCAGTTATCAGAAGAGACACACTAGCTTAAATTCATGCTAAAGAAAGAATGGACACATTTTTTGCGTCGTGGATAGATGATGTCAGCTTTGTGTCATAGAAGACAGCATGGAGGCTCAGAAAGTCTTTAATGTGACCACATCATCTTGCTTATCAGTAGCTCTGCTGAGATTTTCCAGGTATTTTAAGCTCTGGAGATATATTTGTGTCCTAGTTCTGTCTTTATTGTGTAGAGGAGCTGGGTATAAAATTCATTTCTGAGTGTCCATTGGCATATACAGTATGCATGACCCAAAGGAAGAATGGTGGCAGTGGGGAAGCAGCAGTGCTATCCTGTTTGGCAGTCATTGCAATTTTTCTCTGATCCTGCCAATGAATAATTCACATTTCCCTACATGGGCTTTCTGATTAGACTTTATCTTTTTATCAAACAGAAGGGCATTCTAGCTTCCAAAGACTCAGAAGAAAAAGAGGAGAGCCTAAGCAAGGGGACCATGAGGTTTTGTGAGTGGCCAGTAAAGGTGGAGGTTGTAGTTTGAAAATTAATCAGACCTCTTGCTTTGTCCCATCTCCACTCTGAATTATTTGGGCTGTTTAGCAACCTTGAGTTGATGGTTTTTATAAGAAAATCAGACCACAAAGAGAGCAAATGGATTATCAGTAGCTATGTGCCTGAGACCAGCTTTGCTCTATGGGACATGATTACTGGGAGATGAAAACAGAGCAATCCTGCAGGAAAGGTCTTTTCTATTGCTCTGGTCTCAGTTAGGTGAGGGCTATTGGAAGGAAGTGATCTAAACAAAAAGCGTAATTTTTTAAAAGACAGAATCTTTCTTATTCCAGTTCCCAGGCTGATCTGGAACTTACTAGTAGTTCAGGCTAGCCTCAAACTTGTCGTGCTTAAGTCTCCTCATGCTGAGATTATAGGTATATGCCATCACAGAAAATTCTTGAACAATGACAGACAGCCATGACAGAAAGCCATAGCCCTTGCTCCATGTTGTTAGGTGTTGCTGTGGTAAGATTAGCCATGTATCTACAACACCGGTTATAGACTAGCAAACTAGATCACATATAAGCAGTGCTCTGGAGGGCGTCTCATCTTTTAACCTCATCAACTTAGGAGACTTTGGTGTGAGGCTGGCATGCGGAGTAAGTTCCAAGCACTCATTCTCTGTATTCCGGTTTTAAGTCAGGTCAGGGAGAGAGCTACTACCACTGTTGTGGTCCCCAGAAATTTGGCTTTCTGAAGGAAAGAGCAAGAGGTCAAGCAAAGAAAATGACTAACCCCGAGGAGAGTTTGAAGGATAGTAAAACTCCTGAACAAATGCATCATTACTCTAGTATGGTAGAGGTACCTATGATTGGTCACCCTGAGGTAAAGACAGTTAAGGCAACTCTTCAGTCAGTCGTAAATTCTATGAAGAATCAGTGTCATGATCCAATTCTACCAATGAACATTTGTTTTTGTGCATAATCGCTCTTGAATACATTTTAAAGAAATTCAATTTATTTGAAGAGGGTAAAAGTATTTAGGAGTGCCTAGCCCATCCTGCAGATGGCGCCCTTGGAGCAAGTTACCTAGTAGCTATGCCTCAGAAAGGCAGCAGTCCCTAGTATCTGCAAGATGGATGGGGATAGGGACACTCAAAATGCATGTAGTGAGGACCTAGGCGGGGATTCCCCAGGGTGTCTGTGTCTACACACCTTCCTAGTCTGCATCACTTAGCTAGCTTTGTTCCTATGGGAGACAGCGACATCATGGCACAGTTAGAAGAAGCTCTCAAAAACAAATGGCCCAGCCATAGAATAAAGCAAATTTTAAGAGGCATTTATATTCTTGAGGTGCATTGTCATTGGGATAATCAACAAGTATGAGTTGTCGCCCTTATCAGCATGATTGTGACAGGATAGATGCACCTGAGTCTGTCCGGGTGACAGATTGGATACTCCTATGTGGTGGGAAAGCACTCAAATGCCTGTGGTTCAGAGAGAGGCTATGCCACCCTGTGAGTGGTCTCATTATCCGAAAGGCCAGATTTTCTATAAGCCTAGATAGCCCCAAATTAGAAACATTTATATTTGAATATACATTGCCTAAAATCTCAACACGCCAAATCACACTTGAGCAGCTAAGCACATTTAAGTAGCATTAGTGCAATAGTTTGGAAAGAATGGACAACTTAAAGAAAGAATAAAACATGGTCACAATGAAGTAATTCAGTCGATAAATCTCCATTTCGTTGTTTTGCTGTATGATGACCTGGGTTTTTTTTTTTTTTCCTCAAACATGAATAGAATATGTTTAAAAATCAATTCTGTGTTTGAGACCAAAATAAAATGTGTGGAAATAGAAGGACTCTAGTGGATCAGTGTATATTTGATAACCGGAAATTTAAAGTGGTATCAGAGAACCTTCAGTGCTAAGGGCAAATAAGCCAGAGTTGTGCGTGGGCACTAAAAGTCTATGCCCCGAAAGCTGGTCATTAGCCACCATTAATATTCATGAACCATGAAGTCTCTGTGTTG